CAGAACTTGCTTTACTGACACAAATACTATTACATCCACGCTCTCAAATAAAAACGGTCCACTGATGCATCAAGATAATTAAGTCTTCCCCCTCTCCTTTTGCAACAAGATGCATTTAGGTATTTAATTAAGAAGTGTATCCCCAAAAGGTTAGTATATTCACACGTTATATTTCACTTTTTCCACACCAAGCATTTTCAAACTGCTGCTGTTGCTAATAAAGGGTACACTGGGTTAGGACAAATATCTGCACATATGGCTCTTTTATAGTTTTCTTTTTAAATTATCACTTTAATTTAATTAGGTTTTGGGGGTTACACATAAAAATGTACTTTTCACTCAGAACAACTGAACAAAACTTGTTTAATATGCATCACCTTTTATCTTAACTTGTCAGCCCAGCTCTTATGCCATCATTACTACTAGTCCATAAATCTGTCTGTATCATGCTCACCAGAGTATCCAAGTGCCTTACTGGAGGATCTGAGGGTCTAACAAAAAGACAGCTACAGGATAACTTCTGTAAAAACTTTTAATGCAGGATGCACAACATGGATAAGTGTGATAGCTGATTCCCATCAATCTAGATGCACAGGGCAGTCATCTGGATATAAATCTTACTGGAAATCTGCTTGTATTGCTTTTAGTTCAGATATGTGGTTGATGCTGAGATTTGGGAGCCCCCTACCTTCCAGCCTGGGATTGTATGAATTCTCTTTTTTTGTTTAGCCTGTTATAGAGATGAGCTCTAATCTTGAATATCAGATTAGGGACTGAGTGTGGTTTGTTAAGCTCCCTGATCCTCCAATATCCAGAAGCTGGATTTGGGGAATATGTGTTAGGATCCCTTTGAACTTATATATTTTAGTAGACCAGTGATTTTCAACAATGGTGCCATGGCACCCTAGGGTACCCTGAGATCCTATCATGAGTGACATAGAATGCCATGCAACAGCAGCACTGTTAGGTGGGCAAACATGATGCACATGCTAAATGCAGGAAGTTCAAATAGGCATCCACAGTGTTAACAAACATTCTGCCCTTTTGTGGACTTTGAGTTTTTGCAACAGAAGAATTGCTCTATTATTTTTCTGTAGTCAAAAAAACAAGTGAAAATTTAGAGCTGACATTTTCTGAGCTGTACTTCATGTCTATCCATGGGTACCTCAAGTCTAAAAAGACAGAACTATTCTTGTGGATGTTTCAAAGTCTTTCTTGACAAGCAGAGAAAAAATATTTCCAGACAATAAATGAAAATGGTTAATAAAGTAGAAACAGTATGTTCTTCCATTACAGATTAGTCATAAATGTAGTTCTGCTGAACAGTGTACACTGAGATGCTGATATGAAGTAGTATGTACCTCTAGGGGAGGGGGAAGATCACCACCAATTTTTCAAGTATTGAATTTATTTTGCAGGAGGTAATGGAAAGAGAAGAAGAAAGAGAAAGTTTGTGTACCATTGAAAGTACCATTCACTTGCTTCAAAAGTGGAAGGGGAGAGGACAAAGCCACTTTGTAAAGAAATTATTTTAAAACCAAGTAAAATTAACACTATGCCACATATCTTCTCTTCATCAGACAAATGACTAATACTGTTACACATGATAGGAATGGAAAAACTGGGTTGGGGAGGGGGACATCTTTTCTTTTGGAAAATATCATTAACTGGATTCATATTTTAGAAAACCCAAACCAGCAGTAATATGAATCTAAGTCATCCAAAGATCAGAAAATTCTGCATGTGATTCAGAAAAATGACTTTCAGTTTGGCTCTTTACTATTACCAGACATAAAAATCATTTGAAGTGTAGGTATTCCCAAATTAGGAGGGATTAGAAGAAACAGAAAAGGATTTTGAATCGGGCTTAATAGAAAACAAATAATAATATTATTTGGTAAAGAATGAATTGATGTAAAGGAAAAGTTGCCCAGTGTTATATAGAAAGAAAAGTTCCTAACAAGGGTTTGGTTACATTGTAGCACTTTTTTGTGGTAGGGCAGCATTAAAGAATGGGATGTGAAGGACATATGGTCATCAAACCAAAATAACAGGTCAGAAAATCCCCAACTCTGGAAAAAATGCCAAATTCAAATATGTACCCAAATTGTACTTGTGAACTGAACAAAGGAAAAGGAAAAGGAAAGAGATGCAAAGGAGAAATAAATCAATGCATCCCAACCACATTCCTTGGGTTTTTCCATTCTGGCAAGTAATAAACTTTCTATGGCAAACAATGTAAAGGGTTGAGAAAGGCAGTTAGCCACAATGAGTTTCAAGTCTGGCAGAAAGCAAGGCAGAATGGCACCTTAGAGACTAAATGGTTCAGAGAGGCATCAGCTTCCATAGACAACACCATTACACGTGATGAAACAAGCTATCACTTATGAAAGATTATGCCTCTAACCGGTTAGTCTCTAAGGTGCCACAATGCCCTGCTTTCTGCAACATAAAGGGTTGCCACAGATATCTTCCCCTCTGCCTCAAATGGCTATATTTATGGCACTAATCTCTTTGTACTGTACACTGATACTTTCTGAAAATCTTGAAGGCCTAGCAATTCCTCACCTATTCAGTGTCTGAGAAGGACCAGGTCCAATATCTTTCATAGCTGTTACACATCATTATTTTATGAAAAGCATGCATATTCAAAAGATAAGAGATGCAACTAAGAAATTGAATATAGTTGGTGTGGTTGATACCAACCATGACATATTGGTATCAACCTGAAATGGCAAGGGGCTCTCTGTTCCTACAGGATTTGAGGTCAGAGAGAGCTGAACCCTGGAGTTTCTCCCCTGCCCACTCATCCCATCTGTCATTTAAATTACAGTTGTCCTGACTGTCTAGTAGCAGGATGCCTTTCTAGCCTTTGTCCAGTTTCATCAAAAAGGGTTCTTTCGCTAGATACCAGCATTATCTACAAGCACATTCACCGATACAGATCCACTGACATCTAAGTTCAACAAATGCATTACTATCTCCATGCACATAAACACTTATGTTGCCAATGAGACAAAATTATGGCACAAGGAGAAGAGAAGAAATATGATACAATACATGATTCTCATTTTATTCATATTTTCTGTAACCTCCTTTTCAATGAACAAGTTTCCAATGACACCTATTTATACTGCATAAGGTCAGGTCTAATATTAAAGTAAGCAACTCACAGAGGAGAATAAGAGGACCCTGGTATTTAGAGGAAGTTGGTCAGAATAGCTACACACATTCAGACGTGGTGTACAACAAATACAGCAACACTAACCCATAAACCAGCAAGCCGTCAGATTCCTGACAGTCAGGCAGGGGTACTGGGAGTCCTCTGGAGCCCAGAGCAATCAGCAGCACTTTGGTATAAGTGCCATCAAACCGACCATAAAGGAGTATGCTTTACAATCATAGGGTGATTATACAGGGTAAAAGCCACACAGCCCTCTCAAGTACCTCTCTAGTGAGATAATATTTTAAAAGAATTCTGTCACATACATCTTGCTAGCCTTCCCAAATAAATTCTTTGTTCCTCAAATACGTGATATTCCTTGACTGAGAAGGAAAAGAATAACTCGTCAGATTTCTTTCTTCCTTTTTTTCTTGGTAACCATGAAAACAGCTTTTTCAAATGCTATAATGAACCTGCTTGTCTTCATTATGTGCATCACACCCACACGTAAGAGCAACTTCTCTCTCTCCCCCCCCATCTACGGCTCAAGTTGTGAAAACGGTTTGGCAGCAGAAGCAACAACCCATTCCCGCTCCTTCCACTATTGGTGCTCCTCGCAGGAGTTGCAGAGGGGAGGTAGAGACAGGGAAAGTTTTAGGCCGAGTTAGAGTACAAGGAAGAGTCTGTCCTGCAGGCAGCAAAGACCAGTACCATGCAGAGCCAGTACATTTTGTGGTGCGCCCGATGTAGCTAACCATTTACTGAAAGGCCTGAAGTTGTGATCATTCTGAAGGGGCTATTTACAGTCACCTCAAGGCTATGGCAAAAGCCCAGGTTTCCAGATTTCTTTGCAGAAAACTGAACAAGCACAACGAGAAAGGATTATATTACGCTCCGCACACACACACATATTAACTCCCCGTGGATATATTATGTTTTAGGGAGGAAGAGAAAAGATAAAAAACAGCCCAGGAAGAATCTGCTCCAGCTGAGCACAGCCGAGAAGAAGACATATCAAGCCCCAGGCTCCTCAGCCTGCCAGGGACTGACAGAGACAGCTAAAGGAACATACAAAGAAGCACTAGCCACCCGGACTCATTCCCCTTTCACCATGTCCTGCGTGCCCTCCTCACCCTCCCAGGACTAAGCAGCTTATCTCTTCCTGCTGGACTGCATCTTCCTGGAGCTGGCTGTGTCCCTTGAGTGGCCTTTTTCTCATTCTTATTTTGATGCTGGAAGAGTGAGGCCCAGCTGCGGGCTGGACTCTCCCCATCACCAGCCTTTTACCGTGATCTCTACCCTGGCTGGTGCCTTCATGCCTCCAGGAATCAGAACTCCTGGGAGAGATGATCTCTTGTATGAGGCCAACTAAATCTTTGCAAAAAAAAAAATTCTTAAAAAAAAAAAAGTGTCATGACCCCAGGCTCTCTCTCTCTCTCTCCCCCACCAAGCCCGCAGATGCCACCAGCCAGAGCAAGAAACAAAACCCACCCAGTTGCCCCCTTACTCTGCCTAGCTCTACCCCCCGCTCGCTACCACACGGATGCATTTCTCCGCTTGTAGCGGACGCCCAGCCTGAGCTGCAGGGTGGAAGTGGGGAAGAAGAGCGAGGCGGGGGGTTCAAAGCGGAGGCGGCGGAGCCTTCCCCAGCAGAGGCGGTTGCTTCCGAGGGGCAGGCGCTGCCTGCGGAGCCACACGGGTGGGTTCAGCGCGGCGAGCTCCAGAGCTGCCCCGACCCCGACCGCGGGCAGGGACAGCGCTGCCAGGGCTGGGAGCGGAGCCCCGAGCCGGCGGAGGTGCCGCGGGGACGGAGATGCTGAGCCGTGCCGAGCCTTACCTTGCGCGGCGGAGCCGGTGCTGCTGGCGCTGAGGATGGCGAGGGCAGGTAGCACGAGCATTTGCAGTAAGTATCCCAGTCCCAGCCCGCAGCGGGCAGCCGCGCCGTCCAGCCCCGCGCCCATGGCAGCCCCGCGCCAAGCTCCCCTCGGGGCGGGCTGGGGCAGGGGACAGCTCCCCCCGGCGCGGCTCAGGCTGGCGCCGAGCGGGGGAAGGCGGGGAAGGTGCCCGGGCTCCGGCGGCGGCTGCTGCTGCAGGGAGACGAGCGGCACTGGGGCATCTCACGGGCTGGAGCCCAAGTGTGCGGGAGCCCGAGCCCGCAGGGGAGGAAGGGGCGGCAGCATCCTCGCTCCGGCGGATTTGCATATGCAAGAAGGGGCGGTGCGAGGGGCGGGGGGGGAGCTGTGCCCGCGC